GGAGACAGGGTTTCTCTGTGTAGCTTTGCTTTGCACCTTTCCTGGAACTCGCTTTGGAGACCAGGCTGGCCTCGAACTCACAGAGATCCGCCTGCCTCTACCTCCTGAGTGCTGGGATTAAAGGTGAGCACGCAACCGCCCGGCCTAGTTTGCCTTCTTAAGACAACAGTTTCATGTAACCCAGGCTACCCTCCAACTCTATCCAAGGCTGGCCTTAGAAACTCCTGAATCTTCTTCTCCTTCGACCTTCCAAGTGCTTGATTATAGACGTGCCCCACCCCCACACCAGCTGGCGTTACTGTTATTTTCTTTGTTCATACTTTGCCTCCAGAATCACAGTTTTAAAGAAGGAGCTTGCCAAAATACTTGGGGAAATGTGCATGAAAAGACATGTGCAATGATAATACATTAGGCTCTTTCAGAGTAGAACTGAAATAAAGAAATAGGTTCCTTACATTAGGAACAAATCTCAAGAGTTTTTTTAGATTTAAGAAACACAGGCCATATCTTAGTGGAACCAAGCTTTTTTATACCACATGCTTTAATACTTTATTTTTTGTTGTTGTTGTTGTTTATTTGCAGTGTTGAAGTTAGAATCAGGATCCCATGCATGCTAGGCAAGCCTTTTGTGACTGAGGCAGATCCCTAGACCTGTTTTCTGTTTTAGATGGGCTGAAATACTAAGATTCACTTTTACCACTGATAAATGCAAAGTCATCAACCTTTATTTAGTGTAGGCACATGCTCAGCCTCACTTAATCATTAGTTACCAAGCACTGGCTGCAGAGCAGAACTCCAGAGTAGACTGGATCTGGTAGTATTTTATATTACAAAAGGCAGACATATAGAAAGTATAATACGGGGCTGGAGAGATGGCTCAGTGGTTAAGAGCATTGGCTGCTCTTCCAGAGGTCCTGAGTTCAATTCCCAGCAACCACATGGTGGCTCACAACCATCTGTAATAAGATCTGGTGCCCTCTTCTGGCCTGCAGGCAGAACACTGTATACATAATAAATAAATAAATAAATAAAGTATAATACAAGTTCAAGAACTCTTGTTTGGAATACGTGTCATGAAGCAGAAGACCTCACCTTCACTGACTTTAAAAATTAAAAATGCAAATTGACTTGTAGGCAGCCTGGATCATATGATTGTTTAACTCACTGGTTCCAAAATAATTTTACATTGAGAAGGTAAACATTCTTTTGCATAAATTCAGACTCTAGGTGAACATTAATTAGTACAGGAGTTTAATTTCTTTTTCCCTTTTGTTTTTGAGGCAGGTCTCATTTTGTTGTTGAAACTGGCCTTGAATTTGTAGTGATCCTCCTTTCAAGTTCTGGCAGGAATTAAAGATGTGAACCACCATGTCTAGTTTAAAATTCTTTTAGACATAAATGTAAAACATATTAAAGGTTTTCTTATTTTCTGACCTGGTTCATGTGGAGAATTCTAGCATTCAAATTTTTGTTTTGGTTATAGGTTTTTCTAAGATCTTTTATTTATTTTATGGATGAGTGCTCTAATCACCTGTATGCATTTACGCCAGAAGAGGGCACCAGATCCCCCGTAGAGATGGTTGTGAGCCACCACATGGTTGCTGGGAATTGAACTCAGGACCTCTGAAAGAGCAACCTGTGCTCTTAACCGCTGGGCCATCTCTCCAGCCCCCTGAGATCCCTTTTATTTGATCATCAAGGTTTGCATTTAAGGGACTTTAACCCATAGTTTGGAACTTTAGTGTTGGAGACACGTACTTTTACATTAAAGTAAAAGAAAAAGGAACCATTGACTAATTTTGCTGGAGAGAAATTGGGTCACCTGTCTTCTGAAAGGTTTAGCTGGTACTTTTACCTCCAGATAAGAAGGTTGTACATCTTTAAGAGTGAATTATATTAGGAGCATAGCAGTGTTACATCTGGTTTCAATTTTGATAGATCATCGCCTTTAAGAAAGTGCTTTCTCCTGGCCGGTGGTGGTGCATGCCTTTAGTCCCAGCACTCGGGAGGTAGAGACAGATGGATCTCTGTGCATTCCAGGACAGCCAAGGACTGTTACACAGAGAAACCCTGTCTCAAAAAACCAAAAAGAAAAAGAAAGTGCTTTCTAAATGAATGGCTTAGGAGAAGTTACTGGCTTTCAAGTACTCGTGTATCGCTGTGTTGTAAGTCATGATTTGTGATATTTCCTGAACCTTTTTCTCAAATAGTCTTCTCAGAGTTTACATTTGAAGCCAGGTGTGGTGGCCCACTCTTGTAATTCTAGCACTGGAGAAGCCCAGGCAGGAGGATCATAAGTTCAGGGCCATCCTCAACCTAGTAACTTAGAGGCCATGTGAGAACCTGCCTCAACTCCCCCACCCCACCCCTCTTTTGAATGCGGTGTGGTAAAAAATTGAATTAATACTCTAAATTTACTTTTACTTTCTAACCTGGGCCTTGTGTACACAAGTGAATTACTATTCTTGAAGAGCTGTTACATTTGATTTTTATTTTTAAGAGATGGGTTTTGGCGGCTGGAGAGGTGGCTCAGTGGTTAAGAGTTCATACTACACTTGCAGAAGACCTGACTTGTGTCTACTAATAATCCCTGCTCTTGCCATATCAAGTCAAGTGATGCTATTTATGTGCAGAGCTCCAGTGTTTGTGATATTGGATTCTGATGGTTTTTGTTTTTCCCTTTGTTTGCTCATCAGACCAAAGAGAACCCTGTACAGTAAGAAATACGGTGTGGACCTCATCAGATACACTCATGCAGCCAACACGGTCGTTTACAGCTCTAACAAAATAGACGGTAAGCAAGCCTGTTTAGGAGGTCACAGTCTGGTTCCTTTGAATACTTGACGAATCTTTGTGGGGGTTTGTGCTGTGGTTATAGTTGGTTTAAATGTTTTCCTATAATGTTAGCAGTGCTGATTACATCGTTAAAAGTGAAAGAAGGCTGGAAGCAAGCCACAAGGACTTTGGAGGGACTTGGAACAGAGTATGAAAAATTTCTACTGTACAATGGAGAGTGGGAAAAGGAAGTAACTAATTATGTTTATGATTTGCACTCCTTGAAACTTGAAAGAATACTTAGCAAAAATGAAAGGGAGAAATACTTGACACAAGAATTAGTAAATTACTGGGCCTTTCCTTTCAGAATATGTCTGTGGATTAAAGCAAGTGTGACACCTTACCTCTGTGTTCTTAGCACTTGGGAGTCTGAGGCTGGAGGAATGAGAGTACCCGGCTAGCCTGGGCTGCAGAGTGAAACCATATCTTCAGAAACTACAAAGGCAGGTGGCTAGCCTGGGCTGCAGAGTGAAACCATATCTTCAGAAACTACAAAGGCAGGTGGCTGGGATAAAGGAAACGTTTATATTTCTGACTGAGGGAGAGTAAAACAGAATTTACAGCTACACTAAAGGCAGACTGGAAAGGAGACCAAGTGCATGAAATGAAGAACAGTAGAAGCAGCCAGGTGGTGGTGCACGCCTTTAATCCCAGCACTCGGGAGGGAGGCAGAGGCAGGTGGATCTCTGTGAGTTTGAAGCCAGCCTGAGTCCTAAGAGAGTTCCAGGACAGTGAGGACTGTTACACAGAGAAAGCCTGTCTTGTGGGGAAAAAAAATAGTAGAAATATCCCAGCACCCAAGTGGTTTGGACCCTATCTGGGCAGTTTAGCATTTGTAGCTAGACCCTGTCTTAAAAACAACAAACAAGCCGGGCGTTGGTGGCGCACGCCTTTAATCCCAGCACTCGGGAGGCAGAGCCAGGC